CTGAGAGAGAGGGGTTAATACAGTACAGTTACCTTGCGCCCCTTCTCACTGTCAGGGAGGTAGCAGTGTCGGGGGAATCCTCGCGCTGTGAAGGGTTTCCCAGGGTTGGGGTGCTCCGGACCCTATTAGTCAGAGGGGATTTAAAAAGGAGGTCAATTCCCTGCCTGAACACACTGGAAGAAATGACGGGTGAAAAGTCCGATAGTCTTATTCTCATATTTCACTAAAAAGAACTGAAATCAAGCAGGCATATCACCCTGCAAATCATAACTGGCAGCCCACTGAAGCTCAGCAGGTCTGAGCCTGGTCAGTACCTGGACGGGAGACCTCCTGGGAAGAACTAAGGTTGCTGCTGGAAGAGGTGATACTGGGGCCAGCAGGAGGCGCTCTCCCTGTGGTCTGTGTGGGTCCTAATGCAACAGTATGCTAAAAAGGACACTATACTGTACAAAAGGAGCTGTCCTTCGCATGAGACATAAAATTGAGGACCTGACTCTCTGTGGTCATTAAAAATCCCAGGGCGTTTCTCGAAAAGAGTAGGGGTGTTACCCTGGTGTCCTGGCCATCTCTGAACTGGCTTCATCGCTCTGTTCTCCTCCCTACTGATAGCTGGTGTGTGGTGAGCAGAGTGGCGCATCAGCCAGGTAAGAGCTACACACTGGTGGTGGAGGAGAGTCCCCATTACCTGAAAAGCTTTTTCAGTGGAGTGTCCAGAAAAGCGCGATATAAGTGTAAGAATTATTATTCGCAGTAGCAGTACCATCAGCTGGGAGTGCAGCCCATATAGAGCGTGGGTGTTCACGGTGTATCTAAAGGACAGTGTATCTGCTGTGTATGACATGCAGGATAGGTCCCTGTGGTGAACACAGAGCGTACACACCTGTATTCCTGGTGGAATGTTGTAGATGATGCGGATCGTGCGACAGTCGGGATGCCCGGGCAGGGAGTGGGGAATGACATGGTATTCCATCTTGCCTGGGGGCTGTGTGCCCGTCTTCACCCCGTAAATCGTCTTACAGGTGGGGCACTGCAGACTGCCGTCCTGCGAAGGAGATGTACGGTTGGCACCATGAAAGATGGGAGTCCTTCCCCAGGCCAGCACCACTGTCCAACACGGGGCTCTGAGAGAACATGAGGTGCCCGCGCAGGGCCTCCATCGCAGAGTGAGAGCAAACAGAGGCGGAACCGGCCAGGTCCCGTCTTCAACTGACACGTTTCCAGGTCACAGGGCCCACCTGCCCCAGTCCAGTGTGCGTTTGCATAGCTACAGTGCTACATCCCAGACGAGCTGTTGGGCGGTGGACCGCACTGGGTTGTACTCACCTTGTTGCCGTTGTTGTACATGGCTACCAGACACTGCAGGTGGTAGAGATGCCCACACTTGGCCAGTCTGCCCACGGGTTCGTTCCTGGACACCCCTGCTGGTGCCCCCTTATAGCCAGAGGGGCCTCCGAGGGGCTCCATACAAATCGTGCAGTCCTGAGAGAGAGAGAGAGACAGGGAGGTCACCCCTGACACGCTGACCAGTCACCACTGACACGCCGACCAGTGAGAGACAGACAGACAGGGAGGGAGGTCACCACTGACACGCTGACCAGTCACCACTGACACGCTGACCAGTGAGAGACAGGGAGGGAGGGAGGGAGGTCACCACTGACACGCTGACCAGCAAGAGATAGTAAGGTTGACACACACACATTGTGCACAGAGAGGGGGAAAGACTGCAAGGGGGATAAAGAGATACTGGCCAGAAAGAGGGAAACAGTGAGGCAGATACAGACACACTGAGCAGAGAGGGAAGGACACGGACGACATTCTCACCTCCTCAGGAGGGTTGCGCACTTTCTGCAGGTATTTCTTCACCACTTCCTCTGGGGTTTTACCTAAAAGAAAGAAACCAAGAGCTTTGAACTCTCAATACCCAGCAGTTTCCTCCTATATACCACTGAACTGGACTACTGAACTGTGTTGGACTGCACTGCATAGGAAAGGTAGAGACCACTTCCTGCTGTGCAGTTATCCAGACCCTGAATATTCAGTCTTGAAACCTCCCAGGCAGTTCAGCAACATGGCTGGATAAGCATCCAGAGGAAGTCTTCTACTCTCCCTGTTAAAATGCCTCCCTTTTTTCAGTCTTAAATACATCTGTCCTTAATTCCGTTTTCTCCTCGATCAACTTGAAAATGCACTTTATCAAAATCTCTGATGTGACTGAAAACATAAGGGCAATCTTAGCGCAGTTTGCTCAGCTGGAGACCGAAGAGGTTCAGTTCCTCTATCCCGTTGGCTGTGTGTGACATGGCCTGCCCTGTGGCGCAAGGAGGTGGCAAAAGAGAGGGGGCCATTTGACCCATCCGGCTCGTTAGCGAATCAGTCAACTAGTAGGAACTCGCCTGATTTGATAGGCCAAGCGCATCAGCAGGATTATGAGACCCAAAAGGAAACTACTGCTGGGTCACAAAGCGACCCCAAAAAGTGAGGGAGCGCAATGTCTTGGGGAGAGATATTTAAAAAGTGAGGAACTGAACCACCCATGTCAAATCCGGGGGATTTCCTCACGACCAGCAAGGCCAAGGGACGGCAGTGGGAGTTACACTCAGGGTCACTCAAACTGACAAAAGCAGGTGATTCCTTAAACAGAGAAGAACTGTGGGAGTGCGGACAAGTCTGTACTGAGAGGCGTGGCACCTTTGTGCGCACAGAGGATT